AATGAACAAGCACTGAAACAAACTCAAGCCTTGAAAGCAACTCATCAGAAAACTATGGGTTTAAGGTGGAGACAATATGCTGGGGTTTTTATAGACTGTGGTGTCAATTGTACAAAATGTTGAGGCCCTCACTTAGTGAATATAAGCTAAATAAACAGTGTAAAGAGGAGAGGATTAAAGTATTCAATTTATGTTCCCAGAGAGAGATTATGTTCCCAGGGCATATTTATCAAACTTCTCAAACAAGGAAATCAGCCATGACAGGCTCAAAATACAGAAAGTATCTGGACCTACTGTAAGGCATAGAAATACAACATTTTCTTAACTTTTCTTTAACCTTGGAAATGACATCTATTGAGCTGAGAGCTCTGATAACTGGGATTACTTAGTACACATTCTGGGAGGAACTGATAAAAACAACATTTCTTGTGAAATATGAAGACCTTCTTTGGGGATAGTGATGGATTAAAGCTTAATTTATGGATGGCATATTATCCACAACACTGTTCACCCTGCAGAAGTGCTAACTCTGGTTTCTTTAGTGTTTTGATTCTGTGCACTCATCAAGGTCACACAGCTACAATAACAGTAGAACAGAAAGAAGGACAAACTCATTTTTTTGGAGGGGAGTGTCATTTTTAAATTACAGCTAACACAATAAAAGCACACTTGTGTGAAAGTGTCTTATGAATTTATTAGCAAGAAAAAACAACCTCACCAGAACAGTATCTCTGCTGTTCTGTTTGGTTCTATTTCTTCTTAGCTTGAAGGCCACCACAAACCTCAAAGGAAAGTTTGATATTTTTGGAAATATGCATATTTGCCTTTTTCTTCTCAGTCAGATGAGAACACCTACCACTTTCATATCCATCTGTTAAATATAACAGCTAACATTGGGCTAACTTAGCTTAGCATAAAGACTGGAGGGAGGAAGAAAGAATTCACCTGCATGCAAAGTGAATTTTAGAGGTGGTGGGCACCTACATACAAAGTAAAAGTTAAAGATTCATCCATGTGAGATGAAAATGTTTCAACTTTTGCATGTATCTCCGGGTTCTATGACCTGCTGCAGACAGGAGTGAGAAAAGGAAAGAGACTCAAGAGAAATGACATCAAGTCAGAGGTTCTGGTAAGTTCAGAGTTATGCCTGGGTCAAAGCATCCTCATGCTGCTCTCTCTCTCTCTCTCTCTCACACACAGAAAGTGAGAGTATGTTTAGTTTTCTGTCCTTTTCATAGTAAAACAATCTCTAGTCTATAACAAAAGCGGTAGGGCAAAAGAGTTAGTTTCCTTAAAACAAGATAATGACAGAGATGGGATTTTGGGAGGAAAAGAAGTTCAGTCAGGTTGAGCTGAACACAAACACACCAACACCTAGTTAGCCTGCAGCCACAGCTGGTACAGTTGAGACATTAGCTGCTCAGGGTGAATAAACACAAATGGTCCTGCAGTCAATTTTGTGCTAAAGACACCGGGCGGAAATTTACTTAGCTCTCTGTCTAAACACATCTTACATGTTACGTCTGGTGCACACTAAGGGATTTCTATTCTCCTACGCAACTACACCACATACAGTTAGTGACGCTTCCCATGAGCGGTGTGTCCTTGCCAGCTCACTCTGATTGGCTGTTGCTGGTTTCTGGTCAATATTCCATCGCTGTTCCTTTCACACTACAGGATTTTAAATCATAATTATCAAATATGTTTGACTCTGAGCTGGTTGGGAGCATTAAGATCATGTGTGTCTGTAAATCCCTCACACTACAGGATCATATGGGCTGATAATCATTTCAACCAGCCTCGAGTTGGGAATGAATGAAATATAATTAAAATATGGAGTTTTGGAGGACAGAGATGATGTGTACAGTATATTGATTCAGCAAGAGACAAAAAGGTTGACTTTTTCCGTTAGAGCCTCAGGGAGGAAACAAGATCAGTCAGATGAAAGACGACCTTCAATAAATGCCTGCCCTGTCTTTCTTCTCTTCTCGTCTGTGCTTCTCTCCCCCTTTGCTTCTCTCCATGTGCTGAGCTCTCGCCTTTCTTCCACTCTGTAATTTCTGCAGGACCATTTGCTGCAAAGACGTGGTAGGTCTTGGCGTGTGCGTATATCTTTCTGCAAACTAGGTATGAAATCACATCTTGCCGTTTCTGTCTCTCATGCCACACATGCAGTAAACAAGCAGAAACAGATGTAGTGCATGCATATGCATGAACACATGCACAAACACACATTTGTGAAAATAAAAACAAACAGCTGTCTGTGGTCACACACACACACACACACACACACACACACAAAATAATGAACAAACACAAAGATGCACATAATTTAAACAGGAAGACCCACACATACACACACAAATGCACATACACAGGTTGGTTTAGTGCATGACAGTGTCATAGATGGTGAGAAATGAAGGACACAGACCCTGTTCTGTTCTGCTGGCTGTCTGTCTGTGTGTCATCAGTCCCAGATTTTAGAAACCACAGGGTCCTAAAAAATAAACAATTTGGGTTTCATTCGTAGGGCGTCAACTTAGGAACGATGCCACTGATCTCCCCAAAGCCTTCCTGGGAAAGTGAGTTTTCTCAAGTACATTAAATTCACGTGGGGCAGTTATAAAATTCAAACCTACATTATATGAAACTGAATTTATGTTACTGTTGGACATTGAAAGCAGCACCCATTTATATAAGATGATAATTCAGTCAACAAGGTGCAATCTAAGAAGAGCTCTTCAGACAATTTTACATTTCTGGAATTTAAATTTTTCAGTAGCTGATGTTACTTTGGCTCATAAAATTTTTGTTATTTTTTTAAATTAAATAAACTACTTTCCCCACTGAGGCTTTTGGGACACCTGACAAAACTGAATCAGTCATTCAATAGTTCAGTAATATCAAATCAAATAAATTACCAGATTAGATTTATCGTCAAACTGATCATGCACTAAACCTATGGATCAATCTGCAGAAGTTCTATTTAAATTAAACATAATTAGAGCACACAACCACACTTCACACAAACCTAAGCCACCCCAAGCGCTAAGTAAAGAAAATGTGACTGGAAATTTGAATCTCTGGCTTCAGCAAAATAATGTTGTCTTCTCTAATCACCAATCACTGCATGTTGTATTTTTCAAAATAAGAGGTTATGGGAAATCTAGACTCAGATTCAGAGGACATTTGCTATAAAGGTATTAAATTACTGTCTCAAAGCATCTGTGAGAAATTACAGCTGATGCTGAGACGTTCACTATATGTTAAATTTTACTATAAATGTAGACCATGTTACAAATGGATTGCAAACTAAGCAAGCTGTGTTGGTGATGCTTTGTTCAGGTCAGTGTAAATCAGAAAATATTATTTTCAAATTTCCAGTTGGGTAAATTTTGTCTTGCAAAGCCAGCCCACAAACTTTAAATTTCACTCAGAGGTACTTGGCATTAAACATTGCTTGCAGCAGAATCAAAGTTTACATAATTTAGGTTGCCTTGGCAAGAACAGATGGAGCAGGTTCGTCCTGTTACAGCTGGAGCAGCTGTCCAATAACATTAAGTGCACTTGTATTCAGGATGGCAGACTAGACCTCTCACCTCTAGATCCTCTCTGTGTGACCGGTCTCTGTCTTCAAAGTCTCTGGTTCTGCGTCGAGCCTCTTCAAATGCTGCCTGGGCCAAAGCATCCTCGTGCTACATGCATGCACATACACACATGCACAAAGTGAGAGTCTTTCTAGTTTTCTGTGTCTTACATAAATAAGAAATCCCTAAGCTATGACAAGGTTGGGGCAACAGTTGTTTCTTTCCTCAAAACAAGACAGAGACTATGAAATGATTAGGAAGAAGAAGGATGCAGTGTTTGTCATCTGTGTGTGCATGCACATATGAATACATCAACTTGTGGTAGACGTATTGCGATACCTGCGCCCTCTCATCATCATACTCTAGGTATCCCATCCCATCGAGCCTCTGTAGGTCAATCCAGCCTCTCCAGATCACACACACCCCATTCAAGATCATAGGAGCCTTTAAATAGACCTGGGAAAAGAGAGAAAGACAGAACGAATAATATCAGCAGCAGTTTTTGTACAGTATGTATAAATCACTTGTCATCTTCATTACTATAGACCTTAACCTATGCAGAGGGTCACAGAGGTTCACTAATTTCCACTGCAGTGCATGAAAACTAAAAGAGACACACGAGGTTCTCATGACTTACTGGCAGATGTTACATTGGACTGAAGAAAAGGGGGCATCTTAATGTGACCTGAAGGTTCACACAAAATTACAGTTCTTAAACTCAGAAACCATCAGTTGTTTCTCCAGACTATAAAAGCTCTGTGTTTAGGAAAGAGATGTCTCTCCTCCCTCCCTAACTGCTATGAAAGAGGTAAAACCACCAACTACGTCAAAACCTCTCCAGTACAACTGAGCGCTGGAACAGTAAGTCACAAACACACACGTCCTTGTAGGCTACATAGACTTAGATTCATTTCCAGGAGACTTACCCTAACCTTGACCAAAGCTGCTCTAACTTTACACAGCATCATTTTCATAAGATTTGATGAACTATATCAATGGGACCAGGCCCTGGTCCCCACAAGTGACACCAATCCCAGCAAAGCTGCTGTGCTCACAGTTTCCCCACAGGTATAGAAAAACCTGGCCACACGTACTGGCATGCATTTGCTGCTACAGGCTGTCACTCCCATGTTAGTGGAAAGGTATGCCTTTATATTGACTAGGTGGATACAAAGTGACCAAAAATAAATATCATGTGCCTAAAACATTTTCTTCCTTTCGTCATGTTTGTGTGTGTGTGTGTATTCATTTTTATGGCCATTGCCCACGGGCTGTATCTTATTCAATGGCTTTATTCACACACTGGCAGCTAAAATATGACTCTGTGGTCTGTTGTCCTGGGATAAAGATCTCAGCCTGTGCTGCTCTCTGCTCCCACTTTCCCACTTTACTTATTTATTGAAAATAAATGTCGTGTTACAGTCTTCAATTAAGCGTGATAATAAAAAAAGTACAAACCATTTATCAGGCTGTCTACAAATCAGCACTGTGTCTTGTTTGACCTTGTGTAGTGTCTCTTTTGTCTGTCAATGAGAGAGGACAGCAGGAGAACGAGCACTGATAATAAGAGAACTAGGAGTGCTTATTTATGTTTTATTAACCCCTTTCTCTTTCTCATGTACACTGAGCTCATTCAGACCGTCACGTATCGAGGATCAGTCTTGGTCTCCTGAGTATAGGCTGTGGCTCTATGCCAGGAATCCAGCTATGTGAACACCAAATATGTGAATGTGTGTGTGTGTGTATAGTTTTATGCAAGGAGAAAATGTGTACATCTGTAGGCTCCCAGAACCATTTCTCTGTTTAGATTTGCCATCTGAGCTGCTGAAGACAGATCCAAGCTACTGCAATGTGGACTAAACTCAAAGATTTCTCAACACTTGCCAAAAAAGTTAAAGAGAGGGAGAATAGAACATTTAGATATTTTTCAGATGTCAAGCAAATGTTGTGCCTATCTGGCTAATGTAGGTCTAATATTAACACGTTTAGCTTCATTTTGGTCTCCACCAAAATAAAGTTCTGGGTTGAAGGGTGCAAAAATAAAATAGATTACACAGAATTGAGTGATATTGCTCTGTGGCTTCATCACTATGAGTGACCCCTTTCACATTACATAGTCATTTCATTCATCGCTAACATAAAAATATTGATTAGAGCAGCATTAAGCAACAGGGCTGTCTTTCAACAGGCCCAAAGCACATAAAATGTTAATCAAATGTCCTTCAAGCAGTGTGCCAGCATATTGCTCTGTGTACCCAGATTGCTTCACTGTGGCTAAGAAACATGAGAAGTGAAAGTGAAAACTTGTGAAAAGCCTGTAGTGAATCACTTTGAGGTTGTCTGAACCTCACAACTACTGACTCTTGATTTTGAGGTGGACTGTACCTTTAAGTTTCATTCCCTCAGTACGACTATGAAATAATTCTATACACACGTTCACCTAAACACCGTCAGACTGAAAAAAATGTGCATTTTTCATTTTCATTTACCCAAGTAATGTTTTGCACAGGCTTTATTAAAGAGCTGTCTGAACTTGTCTTTCTGCAACATCTGACAAAAGGCTTGATCAAGGACAATACAATACATGTGAAGTTAAAATCTAATTTGGTGTTTTTCTCTTTCTTTTCATTCTGATTGTGTTCCTCTTTCCATGAGGAGGAGACACAGTGAAACACAGGCAAGTGGTTTATTTTTCGCAGGGCAGAAAGATTTTAGGTGGTGTTTCTATCTGGGTAAATTAACAAATCAAACACTCCCCCAAAAACACACATATACAAACACACAAACTGGATTTTTCTGGGTGACACTGGGCGAGCTCTATGTTCCTGCATTTTTACTCAGGCTATTTTTGGACAGCCTTTCAGAGGGACCTCGTTTACCACAGCTACCCACACTGCACCAGGTTTCAGGGGAGACTGCACCCCAAGAGACTGTGGGCTTTTTGTGTTTATTTGAGTTTATGTGTGTTTCTGTGTTAGAGAGAGAGCAAGTGTGTGTGTGTGTGAGAGAGAGAGAGAGAGAGAGACGGCTTCCACATCTGTGGGTCTGCATGGTGCTTTTAAAAGAAAGGTTCATCTGGCCTGACAGGGTCGTGCGTATGTGCATGTTTGCGTGTGTGTGAGGGGAAAATATGTAGAAACGGCCCAACCACAAACTTCCTCTGAGAGAGAACCATGTCAACCCCCACATCCATTTACTGACACACACACACACCCGAGTGAAGACAGGAGAGCTCACACACTGCAGCAGTGAATAAGCAAAGGAAGCAGAGTAAAACACAGGGAAAATTCAGACCCACTCTAAAATCGAAAACAAGTTTAGCTAAATGTAGCCTTACTTTTAGTGTCAGAGAGTGTGTACGAAGATTTCTGTTGTTCTACTCATTTTGCCAGTGATACTTTTTGTCTGGTAGTACTGGTAGTCATCCTGTTTTATTTTGAAGAGATTTCCAAACCCATCGGGACATGAATATAAACTACTCAACATCTACTGGACAACTATAACTATCATTTGTGTCACAGATTTTATGATTTTACACTTTAACATTTTCAGATAAAGGTTACATGTACAAAACACATTGTAATATTATGAAATAATATGATGCTTGGTTAAACTTCAAAACTGTCCAAAAACCACAAGAAATGCTGTTTCACATGTGAGACAACAATATGTGCTGACGTCTTTAAGGTCTATGGACATAAATGAGATAACGTGTGAGGGTCCCACATCAGCACCGTCAGCTGGGTTTCTCAGCTTCTCTACATAAAGCATTGAAAAGTTTCTATATTGGACATGCTCACCAAAGACAGCCCACTAACATACAGTGACATAGCTATAATAATCAGGTATGTTACTCAATGTTTTTTAAAGTGATCTCAATGTCTGTGAATAAAATGACCTTCACAGTGACAAAATCTCAACCAGCTGAGCATCAATGGGAGATGCTAGAGTCGCATGTTGGACAGATCTCTGCAACCACCACCAACGTAAACACCAGAGAAAGAAATAACTTTTGGATTAATGCGTTCATCCTTCCAGCAGAGCTCAGACACTTGTAGGGCTGAAGCTGATCTGGACTGTGTTGACCCAACACCATACTGTGGCTGCTGTCAATTTCCCTTTAATTCATGATGACTGTTTTGCAAAACACGCTGCTTGGGATGTTGTTGTTTCTAAAAGCCAGTTCTAGACGACAGCAGCAAACAGCTGTTGCCTTGTGATTTACTGTGCCATATTTTTACAGTCATTCACTGGTAAATGTCTCAGTTTTTTGTTAAATATGAGTACAGTTCTTTTAGAACTGCCTCTGTGAGCTTATTTTTTCTAGGGCCACAGATGTTTTAGCTAAACATCTATACCGCTGCTGAGTAAAGACAAACACACACTCAGCAACCTCTATAAGCTACTGTAAGTGCATGCTACATTGTGTATGAATCTATGTGTGTGTGTGTGTGTGTGTGTGAGTGAGAGAGTGACCGAGATAGATAGTGAGAGCATGAGAGACAAACGAGTTGTGTGTTGGCAGACGGTGTGTGATGCAGAGGGACGAACTGGCATAGTGCCTTTCATTTAGCCTGGTGCCACACATCTAGTCAGCACAACTGCCCACTGACACACACACACACACACACACAGACGGCATGAGTGCCCATGAGGTGTGTAAACATAATGGGCATCTGTGTTGTCAGCCTCGTGAGATGTGGCAGTGTGCCTCTCCTACGCACGCTAGCGCGCACACACACACACACACACACAACATTCAAATGAACAACATAAAGACATAAACATGCCATGATATTCTCCATCTCTTTTCTCACATATAATGTAAATAGAAGCTATTTTTATTTGACTTCCCTCATGTGTGTGTGTAGAGTCTAAGCTAGAGGCACCAACTGATTTGAAATAGCAATTATGTTATTATCCAGAAGAATGTTACATCAATGACTGTCAGAGCGTTGGGAGGCTGTGTGCGTTGAGTACATTCAAACAGACAACATCAGTGTATGTGAGCATGTGCACGTGCAGATCATTAGATTAAAGATGAACTCTAGTGACTGTCTGAATCTGTCTTTGTGTGTGACTGAGTCAGCAGGCAGTCACAGACAGACTCATACTCCTTCTTTCTTTCTTTGCATTAATTGGATCAAATACCTTCATCACCACTTTTCCTTGTTTCACTTTTTAAAGCATTTTAAAGAAATTGTTATAAAGTAATAAAAAAAAGAAACTGCACAACTGCCAGCACAATATGGCACTCAAGTGCATATTGTATTAATCATTCCTGATTCATGTCCTTCTCTACAGCACACTGACACACACACACACACACACACACACACACAGTGTTCCTTTCACAGCCAACAACAAAGACATAATAACTCTACTGAGCAAAAACGTCTGTGGCAGTTGGAATGAAAGAGAAGTTAAAACAGAGGACGAGATCATGGCAGTGAGGA